AAATGTTTAAAGAATTAATAATAGAACAATGTAGTGATATAATTTTTTACTATCAATACAGTGATTATTATCGAACTATTACTGTGATTATTTATGAGCTGAAGTTAAGAAGAGCATCTGTGAAAGGAAAAAATTGCCTTTCAACCTTGCTCAACTCAATCAACATGTTATAAGGGCATAGAAATAATTCTGATACAAAATATTAAAATTTGATTAATAGTATACTGCAGTAAATTTGGGTTATGATTGAAGCAAGTTGAGGTCTGATCAAGTACTAATTATTTATTACTAAATGTGTAGTATATAGTAGCAAACATTCTTATAAGAGTGTTTGCTACTTACTGTTATAATGTTACCTACTTACTGTTAAAATGATACCTACTTACTATTTTTATACGTCTATGCCCTTTCTAATGCTTTATTGCTAACCATCTGTTTTCACTGGTCTGTAGTTGTTTAGTTGCTTTATAGATATTTGCTTGATTTTATTGCTCTGTCCTCTTTTTATTTCCTTCTAGCTATCCACTTGTTTTCATTGCTCTGTGATCTTTTTGTAGCCAAGATAGTAGGCTGATGTTTATTGCATAAATCATGTTAAGATTAGGTGGCGCAGTTAATTTGCGGATCAGATTTTGGCCGGCACTATACCATAATTTCTGGCCGATATTTAGGGCGGAATATCTTGCCATCCTGTGATTGGTTTCATGCAGTTTTATAGTCGTTTGAAAAAAGACGTTGAGAGCTTTCCAATGATACTAAGATCGCATGGATCGGATGCCTGTATGTCGAGATATTGCGTCCCAAATATTTGAAAAAAATATGGAATAGTGCTGGCCAAAATTAACGAAATTTACTGTGCCTTACTGCGCCGATCACGTGACTTTGATGATCCGCAGGTCAGAGAATTCGAAATGCAAATATAAATATATCACATCTTGTCCTATAAAAAATCGTCAAAGAAGGTACTAGAAGTACTTTGTTAAGTTTTTTTATCGTCCCTATAAAAATTTTCTATCCCTATAAGAAAAATTCTTGAGGACGCTTTTAGGGATAATCTTGATATCATTTTTGGGCTTCTTAATGCCTCTAGTAAAAGTAAAGTTATAGGAAAAAAATATTGAATCCATCCTATATGTATGCTGTCACCAAGAAAATTTATTAGTGACGCTTTTAGTGACACCCCTGTATACTTTTTTTGAAGTTTGGAGACGTTCAGTTGTCTTCCTTTATATCTGTCACTATGTCACTAAGAGTCACTAAGAAAAAGTAAAGTTCTAGGAAAAAAATCAAATTTTCTATGGGTATCAGTATGGTATATCTATCGGTATGCTATATATATATATATATGTTATATATATGCTATATTTTTACTATACCCATAGATAAAAAAAAATAAAAAGTAAAGTAGTTCGATTTTCTTAGTGACTCTTAGTGGCATAGTGACACTCATCTAGAAACCTTTTGATGGCTCTAAAAATACGAAATAGCTATAAATTTTGTCACTAAGAGCATCACCAAGAAATTTCAATGAATTGAGTTCGTCCAAAAGGCTATAGGGATAGTAACAACTTTTTATTTTTGTTTAAGTTCTTTTGATTAGTCTAAAATTACTTGAGCGGAATCTCTTTGGGACCATCAGCTTACTTAGTCAGCTTTTTCTGATGGTAATGTTCTTTTGATCTATGTTTTTTTGCATGTGTATCGCAATAGTCATATTTGGATCTTGTCATCTCTTTACATCCGCTTTCTTTGCAAGCAACTTGTCTAGAATCCCGATGGACTTTACATCCTTTTGGATTATAGCATCTCCGATTACACACTTCGCCAATCCTAAGAATATATGGATAATAATAAAAATTCCAGGGTGTCACCTTTTTTCTGCCTCCTATTTATATATATCGATTAATAATCTCAAATAATTAATTTCATTTTAAACTTTTTTCTTGCGAATAATATACCTTGAGATTTGGTATAACTATAAATTATCATAAATTGCTTGAGAAAAAAAATGATCGAACAATCTGAACTTTCAGAGTTCCTCTCTGACACTTCCGCCCCTTTTCACACAGAGGCTGAAAAAGATAAGAAAGGTCAGGTGATTCATTATTCCAATGAGGATTACTTAATAGGTATCCCATTTCATGATGAATTGGCTATGAGAAACGATGAGGATTCAATTTCAATTCTCAAAGATAAGATAGCAAACCATCGAGATATTCCATTCATGTTAGTCGATATAGAAGAAGCAAAAGAATATATTAATAAAACCCCCTATTATATTCTTTGCCTTTATGGATGCCTCGTTAATGGTCAGAAAGCAGTTGTTACCATTACTGATATCAAGGTATTTTTCAATATTCGTGTTTTCAATAATACAAGTATTCCCAAATTCTGGTCTATCCTATTCGTGGTTACCATGCAGAAAAAAAGCCGTATCTTCGCATTACTGCGCCAAATAAAGATCTAAGGTTTATCGCTCTCGATATTATCTCAAGATATAATTCAGAGACCGATCAAGAAAATAGGATAGAGACTACTTCAGATGATACAGGCACATATTATCGTAAAGTTGCAAGAGAGTATAAGATACCACTTTCTGGGTAGGACTTAGTGAGCAATTATAGATATAATTTCAGTGCACTTTATTATGCGAAATCCCAATATTGTCCACATGCATTTTATGTTCACATTGAAAACTTTCGTCCTATAGACAATTTTGAACTATTTTACAAAATATACCCATCTTCTCTTTTACCCATGATCGAGCATTAGTCCTAACATGAGATATAGAAACATATGATTTGCGTAGGTCAGAAAACTTCCCAGAAGCTAAAAATGACACATCTCAAGTTTTTACGATCTGTATGACCCTACATTGGAAAGATGATCTGACCCCCTTAGAGCAGATATATTTAGTAGATGTAGAAACAGAACCAGATCTGCGCTGGATTATGATTATATGCAGAAACTAGACTAACATATTAAAGGCGTTCGCTTTATGTTAAAAATCTTTTGCCTCAGACATCGAACTTGGATTTAATGATTCAGGATACGATTGGCCTTTCATTGTATAAAAGGCCACCAAATTAAATGTTTTCGAGTGGATGGTCCAGCAAATATCAGCAAACCCGCATAAAAAAGCTGATGCTGAATCTATTCTCACTTGGAATTATTTTGGCGGAAAAGAGAAGTCACTAACTAATGGTTTCTTCCAAAGGGACCAGTACGTAAAGAAAGAGAACAGAGGTCCCAAAAAAACGTTAGGATGAGAATCCATCAATATCAAAATCAATCCCTCTTTGACTTTCGAATCCTCCTTTCTTAAACTTCCAGGGTGTATACTGATCGATGTTTGTACGAGTTTCTTACAACTCCACCCCCGCTCTAAGAAATAGTCACTCAGATATTTCTTAGAAAAATATGGTCTCAATGGTAAAGCTGATACCCATAAGCAAATTATGGAAGTATTATTCGAAAGCAAAAGATAGGGCTTCCGACTCTTCTAAAAAACATATGCATGAAATCATAAATTATTGTGTTATAGATGCTTTACGTTGTCAAAAGCTTATGGTCAAATCTAATGCTATAAATGATTACAGAGAGGTGGCCTCAATCGCTCATATATCATTATTCAACTTACATTATTATGCTATAGAAACTAAAGTATCCAATCTCTTAAGCACTGAAGCTTGGGTGCAGGATATTCTATACATCATGAAAATTTCTAATCAGAAAGCATCTGAAAAGTTTCCAGGAGCGTATGTGTTCCCGCCAGAGAAAGGTCTTAAAAATAAATGTTCCGTCACAGATTTAGACTTCACTTTCTTATACTCTAACATAATCATGACCTACAACTTCTCACCCGAGAAGATGGTCTCAACACTTTCAGAAGTAAATAAACTAAAGAGAGAGAATAAAGTGCTTCACAGTATCGAGTTCAAGTATGGCGGTAAACCTGTGCGAGCCTAGATCATATGGCATAAGAATAAATCCGATCAGAAGGGTTTATTTCCAAAAATATTGAAAAATCTACTTAATATATGGAATGAACTAAAGGTCCAGCTAAAACCTCTTGAAAAGAAAAAGGAATATATGGGATTAGTTAAAAGTAGAATGGATGCCGACAGATCTATCTCAATAGCAAATGCAATCAAAGATGTTTGTTTGCAAAGCGAACTTAAGAAGCGTGCTGAAATAGCCAGCATCCTGAATCCTTTCATTGGTTCGTCATATGATAATTTTAGGAAAGAATATGATTCCACCTGCTTCGATTATAATTCTCTAAATTCGAAGTAGAAAGCCATTAAATTGTATATGAATTCGTTCTATAGTGTAACTGGCCAAGTGACTCCCTATTTTACATACTTGAACTTGCCAGAGGTGTTACTTTAGCTGGGCAAGAAAATATCAAACTCATTGTAGAATTCGTGAAAAAGAAAGGTTTTGGGATAAAATATGATGATACTGATTTCCTATATTTCACTTGTCCAGATTTCTATTATGAGAAATGCGATTTGGTCTACAATGGCGGAAAAGGCGTAATCTCAAAACTAGAGTACTAGATTGAGATAGTCAAGATCACTATAGGCGCAATGAAAAAATTGCGCAATGAAGTAAATGGCTTTCTTAAGCTAAAAACCAGATCAGACTATCTTAAGATGGCTTATGAAGAAGTGCTATTTCTGGTGGTCTTCACTGGGAAGAAAAAATATTTCGGCACCAAGCATGAAGATGTAGTAAACTTTGGTCTGAAGGATCCTTTTATAAGAGGAATTGATACTGTGAAACAGGGCAAATTCCAGCTTTTTAAAACCATAGGTGAGCGGATTATAAGTGAAGTCAAGGATATCAACAACGAGCGCTCTCTCCATAAAATTGTTGAGGATGTTCTCAGGGATGCTATAATCAATCCTAACCAATGGAGTTTCGAGCAGTTTATAGAGACTGATGCATGGAAATCTGATAAAGACAACAAAGCCATTCAGCGATTTATGAGACGAATGCAAGGGAAATATGATAGTAGGATTTCAGTGCCAGGTAGACGCTTTAGTTATATAGTGGCCCACTCTGAAATCACTTTTGATTTGTATGGCAAAAAGTTAAAACCAACTAAAGGCGAAAAAATGGAATTCGCCGATGTAGCTAAGGAATTGGAGAAGGAACTAGATTTATACCATTATTTCGAAAAAACTATTATTGACCTCTGTGTCTGATTTATTATATATCACAAGAAGTATAAGCCACAACCCTCAAGTCAAATCATGCGAATTGAAGACTCAGATGAGAAATATAAATAAATTGATGACTACGCTCAAAACAAGACCAAGTCATGGTTTGAGGGATTCGTAAAAGAAAATATTATAGTCAATGGTGTTACTTTCAATATGATGGAATCTTGTGGGATTGCTTATAAGCGTGCTTACAGAACTGCGGTCAAAAAGGCACAAGTAATGTTATATCATAAGATAGGGTACTTATATGAAATATTTCATGGCGAATGGCTTAGCTACAAGATTTTTATGGGAAGTAATCCTATTGAGATATTATGGGAGAGATTCATGAAATACGCTAGGAAACTTACAAAAGATAAAAACCTCTCAGTAGATGGTGAAATGAAGGAAAAAATATGCTCTGATTTTGCTCGATATCCTAGTGAGCTTGCAAAATGTATTGAAGGGTATAATTTATTCTTTCACAAATTGGTCTATCATATGCATTATAAAGAGCATATGTCCATACCAGAAAAAATTAGCCCAGTCTCGTCTATGCAAAAAAATGAGATAATTGCTAATTTACCAGCCTTACCTCACATATCAGAAATTGAGGCGCTAGATGACATTACTAATTTATGGTATTTTCATTTTGAAGGTGTGGTCGAACTGGAGGTGTTAAAGCAAAGTACTTAAATAAATTATATGGATAGTACTCTTAGCTGAAATTCCCACAATCCGCTAAGAGAACTTATACAATATTATTTATATTTTTTTTTTCTCGTGCAATAATATCGGCTAACTTCAATTCCTATCTTCGAACTTCAGCGACAAGCGCGCTTAGGATGATCACTCCAATATTCTGGCCTCTGATCATATATCCTGACCTCAGATATGCCTAGAGATAATCATTAGTATTTTGCATATCAAAGTTTATGATCAGCTGAAAATCTGCATATTTTAAAGATAAGCTTTATTGGTATAATGGCTGAATTACGCGACTAAGTTTTCCAGTACATAGGCTTCGAACCTAACGAAATTTGTCTCCCAATCATAGAAGAGGACAAGCAGGTGTTTCGTAAAATAATAGTGGATCAGGAGAAAATGACGGATATTGTAATGGATGACTATCGATTTTTACTACAGCATGGGCATAATAGTAAGGGAGGTGAGTTCATTCATATTGGATGGTTACTAGCATGTACGGTGGCCTAAGTTAAAAAAGTCTTAATAAATCTGCCCGAGCACTAAGCTGAAAGAGATTTATCAGAAAAGGTATTAGCTCATATCTAAAAAAGATTCGAAAAAGTCCTATTAGCGCCAGTACTTATACGATAGTCAATTAGGATTTGAGATAATAAATGTCTGGCCTATTTATATATTTTTCATGGGTAGAATATCGGTCATTTTTTTTCCTTCTAGCCTCTGATCGTATAGCCAGCCTTTGGAGATGCTAATCTTTAGCCTGAATATATTGCTCAGCTTTTTTCTGTGTATTCCGTAACTTTTTCACAATAATAAACCACATAATTGCGATCAGGAGAAAAAGTATTATTGAAAAGGGAAGTATATATAGTAATAATTTATCAAGGCCAGTTTTTGAATCTACGCTACTCTTCTCCTGCAAAGCAGTATCTGAGGTGCCTATAGGTGAAGAAGCGCCAGAGAGTCTCAAAGAGACTGAGCTTTCCAGCCCACCATGTTTTTCGCTACCACTTTTTACATGTGAATCTGACTGATTAGAGTATTCTGAGGTCAATAGATTAATCACAGACTGAAGCGATTTTACTTCCTTTGATTTTGCAAAGTTATCAGCTTCAGCTTTGGTAAGAGATATTTCTGTACAAGCATTCTGGGAGACGAGCTTAGAGTTTTCAACCTTCAACCGCCTATTCTCATCATTAAGATTTATATATTCGCTCTGCAATCTAGCATTATAGCTTCAAATTATGGATGAGTTTTGCAAGATGCAGTATATCTCCTTTTCAAGATCATACGTTCCTATTTATTTACATTGGCCATAAACTGTAAAAAAACTTTTCATATTTTTTGTTAAAGAACAATTACGATAAATATAGAATGAATAGGAAGGATATCGATCATTTTTTATTATTAATTACAGATAGTGAATTAGAATGTATTTTATCTATCTAAAATAATAAATTATATATTTTAAGGTTTTCTCTTATCCTGAATCTATAAATATTGAATTCTAATATTTATTATTCATCTAAAATGATAAATATTAATGCTTAATGTTTTTTATACATCTAAGTACATTGTCTAAAAAAATCGGAGGGGCATATCTACCTTAATTTTGAAAACTTATTATCGGCGAAGTGCCACAGTCTTGACACCTGAGCAGATCGAAGAAATTAGACATCTTAAAAATAAAGTTCCAGCATATATGATAGTAAAGGAGTACCATATTAATAAAAATCGTGTTCATGATATATAGAATGATTGTGAGCGTTTACAGCAAAATAGAAACCACTTTCTCGAAGAGTTTAAGAAGGTACAATCTACCTCATCAGTCCCCTCTTCAGAGAATAATCCTCAAGAAAAAGAAAATAATCATCCAATTTCAGGATCTTCAGATGGTCCCTTTGTTTTAGCACCTTTAGCTAGGACCGGTTCATTTCATGAGACTATTGAGATAAATGTGCAAGAAAAAGAAAAAAAGAAAAAGAAACTACCGAAGCGGTTCCTTCAGAATCAGCCTAAAACTATTCAAAGTTCTGACTTACCTGAGATTTCGGCCAAGGGTCTTTACCAAAACTCCGTCCTAAACATCTCGTATGACATATTAGCTTCAATTGAAAAGGATCGTATAGAGTTAGAGGAAGCTATACGCGAATCAGAAAAGTTCCTAGCTCTCAACTCACCCTTTCATTATATTCAGACAAAAATACTTCGTAGGGTCTCAATGAGACCATCCGCTAAGCCAGAGTGTATAATTAGCAACAAGAAAGAGATCGTAGATTTTTATTAATCTCAATTAATCTAGCTTTGGAGATGAGAGTATCATATAGCAGTTTTTCAAGCTCTTCATAGCTCATGTGTTTTTTTAAATGTATCATCCTCACCTAAGTCCTGCGAAATGCAGTCCGGAGTTGACAGATCATTACATTTGGAAGTAGTGGTCGCATAATTCACCTCAAGCTTGTTCTTAACCTTATGTATAGTGACCGGGATAATATAGTCCTTCCCATTAAGAGAGATCTTTAGCTCATTTGTATTCCAATCCACTGTGCATCCATATTTCTTTAGGAGTTGATTAGAAAATATTAGTGTTGGCTTGTGATAATCCACAACTATAAAATCTTCATGAATGGTGCACCCAGGAGCTAGAGTAATAGGCAGATTGCTGACAATACCAATAGATTCAATCGGGATAGTAGCTACACTGCTAAGGTCATGTTTTTCAGATTTATCTATTTTGTCCTTAGTACAATTAACAATGTTTTTCGTTATAATTGGAGGCTCAGCTCCGGAGTCTAGAGTCATGGCTAGAATCTTCAAGTGCCTGATTTTGCATTTTATAGTGGCAACATTGATTTTCAGCTTCTTCTTCTGAACGAAATAGATTTCCATAGAATCGTCTAAGGATTCCTCTTCCAGACTGGACTCATCTGAATCTTTTGAAGATGATGATACATCATTTTGAGATACTATCTTCGTCTCCATAGGAACCACTATCTGTTTGGGCGTAATGAGACTAGAATCTTGAAAAATATGTGCAGGAAAAATTAGTTTAAGCTTACTATGAAGGACTTTATGAATAGTATCCTCTAGTGGTATTTTAGAAGTCTCTTTAGAGGACGATTTCTTGGAGTTAGACTTCTGCTTCACTTTTTTTTTGACTTAGCTATATGAACATTAAGATCACTATCAGAATCGGAAGAATCAGAGGAACTTGTATTAGAATTAGAACTATCACTAGAAGAAGTATCATTTAAAGAAGAATCTGAATCTGAATCTGGTTCTATGGCAAGATTGATCTTGCCTTTCTTCAACTTCTTGCTTTTTTTTTCTTCTTTATAGAGCACTTACGAGAAGTGTGTCCAAATCTACCACATTTGGTACATTTCTTAACAGCACTCCTAACAGCAAATTTGATAGCATTTATTGTGGCACTGTTTAGTGTCATGCCGGCCATACTGTCAGTAATATCATCAACAGGATCATAATTATAATTATCTTCAGGTTGCTTATTTGATTTTGTCCTTAGTAGCTCACTTAAAAATCGTCTAATAATAAGGTCTTCCCCTCTCTTATTAGCTGATTTTTTACTATTATCTAAAGTCTTAGTTGCTCGAGACATAGTTTCTTGAAAGGATTTAGCTATGGCTTGTAAATCAGTATTTTGTTGGGGCTGTGAGGAAGCCATTGTAGTTTTTATCAAGTCCTCAATTTCATTTTTAGTCATCCCACCTCTTGATCTGTTAGTATTTACGTAAGGATTGGCCGATGGAAAAATTGGAAAAGAAGATGACGCACTCTTTTGGGATAATGTAAATTTTTCCGCTTCGGCTAGGGCTTCTGTAATATTGTCTTATGTATCATTAAACTTAGCTATCATTCAAATATTATACTGGTTCATAGGATTTAAACCACGAATAAATTGCTCTCTTTGCTGTTCAGGGGTCATTTCAGCTAGTTTACCAATCTTTTTGATTCTAGCAGAGAACTCTTCAATGCCCATATCTCCTTGCATGAGTTGAGCAAAAACTGTCATTTATTTTAAGTGTTTGACGGTCGTATAGGCAGTTTTGAGTAAGTATATAAGTTGATCAAGTGTGATGTTAGGTGCTATTGTAATAGCAGGAAAACCTCCAGCAGTATTCGGTAGTATTGACGCATTATTTGTAGGCTCACTACCGGCTATAGACCAGTCTTCATCCCAAGTTCCATTCGGAATAATATCAGCACCAGTTGCGACACCTGTACCAATTCTACTAATTTCTCCTACACATTTACCTTGAAATTCTCCAGCAGTATTCAAACCACTAATTTGGTTAGCTCCATTTCCAGTCCCTAATGCTCTAACAGCAGTTAAATTAGCTACAGCTAAATTATCTGAAATATTACTACATCTCCAATTCTTACCTCTGATACGAGTTTCATACCATTGCTTAGCAGGTCCTTTGAGACAAGATATTAATAAACCCAATGCCTCTGCTCTTCCAGCCACCTGACCTGCTCTGGGTGCTATGTTTATTCGACTAGCTACTACATATCTCTGAAAATCTTTAAGAAAGTCTTCTGAATCTTCTCCGGGACGTCCATAAAATATTAAAGGTCCGTATCCTACCATTCCTATTTATTGTATATTTGGCGAGTTATTCTGTAATGCAAATATTTGTTTCTACAAATTTAAAATATTCTGGCGTTCTGCTTGAGTCTTGTTTTTCCATTTCTCATATCGCTTATAAAGCCTGTCTCGATTATATTCTAGCAGACCTATATCTCCTCTACTTCGCTATAGGTGGTGGACATTTCGCTGATACAGCAATTGTAAGACAAATTTTTCTTGTACCAGCACACTTATATGGGTTTGCTTTCTTGCTATCCTATATAACATTCTATTAACCTGGTTTCGGCCATTAGTTTGCAACTGTTGAAGGTCACTAATGACCCTATCCATCCCCCCTTCAGCAAGTTGCCTTCGTATAATTTCATTATCTCGCTCAGCCTCAGCATCATATCGCCTTCTCTGCTTATGGATTAAATCCTGATGCAAATTATTCTCTTTTTGATGAATCTGCCTTATAGCTCTTTTTATTTGGTCTGACATGATTACCCTATCTGCCGTATTATCTAGAAATCCGTCTATAGCATTTGCTAATTCTGTGATGGTAGCCATTTCTAAGTTAATATTAGGATTATACAAGTCTGGAGAATTCCCTCATTCAGGCGTATTCTTTCGTGATGAGATGGCTCTGATTCAACATTGTAGTCTATCAACTTGCTCTTCAGATTCTTCCAACTGCTTTTCCAGATCAGAGATATATTTTTTCTTATTTCATACATCCTTCTTAGCTTGATATAGCCGACTTTTTAGGCTGGAGATTTCAGACTTCAACTCTACTATCTCTTCTTTCGAAGCATTCTCAAGACGCTCTATCTCTCCATTGAGGATCTGGATTTCTTGTACACAGCGGTCATATTCACGTTCCAGATCCCTGATCTACCTTTCATTTTAGCGATTGCTATTGACTTCTGACTGCAATTCACTACGAAGATGATTATTCTCCTCCTCCAATTTGGCTTTATATTCTTCACATGTTCTTCTTTGTCTTAGATGAGGCCTCTGAAATGCCATTCTTTTTTATGATTATAAAAGAGAATCAGATGAGCCAACCGCAAATTTTGATAGATCCAATGAGGCTCAGAGAATTGAAAAAAATATCATATTGCGTGAAATATATTACCGCCCGACTGGCTATTATCCCAATCCCAAATCGTTAAGAGATGCGTATAAAAAAGAGGGCCATCGATTCCGCCTAAGTGAATGCAAAAATTTTTTAGAAAATCAAGAGTCATACCAAACTAATAAAATCTCTCTGAAATACATTTCTAGAATTAGTTATAGGCGAATAACACGCCCAAATTATGTACACCAGTGCGATATACTTTTTCTCACTCATGATTACTATAAAGGTAAAAAATATAAAACACTACTTAACATTATAGACTGCGCCTCCTAATATAAAGCTTCTGTTCCATTCACATTGAAGAATAGCTCAGAAGTTGCTAAGGCATTTAGGAAAGTATATGGTGATCGAAACAATCCATTGACATGGTCGAAGCTCCTACAATGTGATAATAGGAGAGAATGGACGGGAGAGACTTCCCGTCTAATACAAGATCACGATGTTACAATTCGGGTGATTGGCCCATATAGCTACCGTGAAACTGCAATTGTAGAGCGTTTCAACCATACGCTCTCAAAAATTCTATATAAGATCCAATATGCTGTTGAGTCTATATCATCCGATCCTGGATTAATGAGAGCATAGGTTAGGTATTTACCAGAAGCTATTGATTATCTGAATAACTATCCCACACGTCTTATTTGAGAGCTGGGGTCAAAAAAGTGGGGACTCGAACCAGTGAAAGCCATTGCTTTAGAGCGAGTCAAATCTAGACCATCTACGAAATATAAGCGTCCAGTTGGAAAAGATGAAATAAAATTAAAGAAAGGAGATACCGTCCGCTATCTACTTACTAATGCGAAATGGGAAGGTGGAATGGAGAGTCAGAGGAGGGCTATGGATCCCATTTTTTCGCCTTCTATTCATAAAATCTGAAAAGTTATTGTCATAAAGAATGAACTAGTTTTATATTATCTCAGGAGTAATGATAATAAATTTGTTCTATCACGCGGGTTTGTACGAGAAGAACTCATATTAATAGCTGATTCAGAAAAGGTTGGGCGCCTATCCCAAAGTATATTATCCATACATATTGCATATGTTTCTCCTATCAATAACAAGATAACTCAGGCTGAAAAATATGCCAAGAAGTGTGATGGTCAATGCCTTGGAAAAACTGGACGAATAAATGGTCATGATATTTATCTTTGGTCTTGTGAGAATGGTGTGCATCAGTGGGAATATCTACTAAAATATATCATGAAACAATTCAAATGGTGTTCGCTATGCCACCATAGAAGTGATGAGCGCCGATGCTGATACATTTTTGAGGATCTGCTAGGCAAAAAATTCCCATCATATAGGCCAAATTTTTTGGATGGAATGCAACTCGATGGATATAATGAAGAGTTGCGACTAGAATTCGAATTTTATGGCAAGCAACACTATAGTCTTAATTCAATGTTTCATAGGAGAGACCAGATAGATTTGGATGAACAGAAAATGTGCGATCAGAAGAAGCGAGATATATGCAAGAAACAAGGTATATGCCTTATTAAAGTACCTCATATAGCGGATTTATATTCGTATATTAGACATACTCTAATCGAGAAAGGGTTCTTAAATAGTTCTTCCAGTTAGATCAGAGAGTATTATTTTCTTGGCATTTTTCTGAGACTGCGGATCTCGCAAATTTCATAATATATTTTTTAGTATATCATTAATAAAAGATAGTTTGATATGAAAATAAAGAAACTTGAGCCAGTTGAAAGGCTTGTATATCATATTAATGAAATTTAAGATGCTCAAAAATATAATGGCAATTCCAGTACACCTCAATGGCCTTTTACGCTTGGAATCTTTGGCCATACTAATACAGAAAAAAGTAATGAGGTTATTAATCACATGCTCAGAACTAAGCTTTATCAAATGCTTAATGGGAAGAAAGGAGGGACACGCTATATCAAGTGTGATGATTTGCTACTCATCGGTCACCAACTCAAGGAACTAAAATATATGTATCTCAAATTAGCATTCCAGATAATAGCAAATAGTCCAAAGCCATATCGTGAAGATATTACATTCTGGGCTTTGAAGCCTAATAAAATCCCTAAGGTGGATTCATTTTTTCCAGATAGAGATACAGGGGCTATATTCAAAAATATGTGTGCTGACCCAAAAAAAGTGCAGGAGAAAATTGTTCCTTATTTTATTGAAGGACGCCATTACAACATCAGTTTGATATATGTATCCCAAAGTTACTTTGACTATCCAAAGATAATACGAAAAAATCTCACACATGTCTGCCTATTTAATGGGTCGTACATTGCGGATGAGCTTAGCAGAATCATGCGTCAATATGCTAATGACTGGCATAGTATAATTAAGATTATTGATAAGTCATTATGTGAACATAAATTCATTGTTTTTGATTTAACAGTACCTCACGAACACTCACATAGGATATGTCTTGGTTGGGACCAAATTCTCACTAATGAGAAGAATTCGACTTCATAGATACCAGCTCCTTTTCCGTCTCCAGCAGTTGCATCTTCAGATTTTCAATCTCATAGCGCATTTTCTTATTTGCAGTAACCCGCTCTCTATAATCCTTTTCTATATCTTTCATGAACTTCCCAAAAGTCCTCTTATTATAATCGACCAGGTGTTGGGATAGTACTTTAAGCTCATTCATAATCTGGCGATTATTCTCTTCTTCATAATCATGCTTTAGTATCTCTGACCAAGTGCCATTTGTTTGGACTCCAATGTCAGTAACATATATAGCCGGTGATGTAGAAAATACATTACATTCTAACTAGCTTCGTAGACGCAATAATTTTTCCTAAGCTATAGTTTTACGTTTCTTCTTATTTAACAAATTCTCATAAATCTCTAATGTGTGTCTCAAATAAGATTCAATTCGTTCAGACTTTCTGGAAATAGA